ATATTAAATAGATTATGAATCTTTATAATTTAAATATTTTAATATATTAATATATATTTAAATAATATTAACTTGTAATATTATAATAATTTATATATTCAAAAAATATATAAAAAAATTTATTATTTCAGCTTGAAATAAATAGTTTTGAATTGAATTATTTAAAAAATATAATTAAAAAACTTATTATTATAATAAAATAATCTTTTTAAATTTATTTTCTAATTATACTAGTACTCTTTCTCTTACTTAGTTTTATTTTTTTGACTATACAAAATTGATTTTGATTTTTGATATTATTTTGAAAATAGAAAATCTTTATTATAAATAAGTTATATTTTTTGTTTTATTTAGTTTATTATTTTTAAGAATAGAAAACTTCTATTATAAATATATATTTTTTATGTTATTTATTTTATTATTTTTAAGAATAAAAGATCTTTACTATAAATAAGTTATATCTTTTTAATTATTTAGTTTGTTATTTATCTTAGCTTTTATTTTTCTTTAGTTATAATCTTCTTTAATTAATAATAGTTTTATTATTTAATTATTTTAAATCTTGAATTATATTAATTAATAATGACTTTACTAATTAATTTTTTTAATTTCTTTAATTTATATTATTCTTTTCTTTTATATTTTATTCTTTTTTAAAGATATTATTTATAGATATTAGTATAAATCTTAAAAATCTTTATCAGTATTGAAGTTATAGTTTATTTCTCTCTTTTTATTTATTAATTAATTTAATCTCTTTCAATTCAATATTATTAAGATGAATTAAAATAAAAATTTACTTATTAGATTTATTGTAATATATTTTTGATATCTTCTCTATAAAAAAAGATTCTATAGATTCAATATTATTTTTTTTTATTTAAATACTTTTTATATTTCTTTATACTTCTTTTTTATTTATTTAAGTAATTAATAAATAATTATATCTTGAGTTTTCATGACTAATTATTATTCTTTTATTAAATTACCTATTAATTATTATTTGAAAGTATATCAAGACTCTAATTATATTATTAGAATATTCTTTTAATACTTTTATCTCTATTATTATTCTCTTTAATTAAACTTTTTTATAATTTTAGATCTTTTATTTACTTATTAAAAATATTAGAGTAGTATTAATAAATTAAATCATATATTTATTATTTTACAAATTAATTTAACTTGATTTTAGTAAAATATATACTATCCAACTTAAATAAAGAATTGTATAATTAGTAAATATCTTTATATTTAATCATATAATTTCACAAGAGAAATAACTAAACTTAATTAAATAATTTTACTAATAATTTATTTATCAAGATTTTACTTTATAATCATAATCAAGAATCTCTTCTAATATTAGTAATATTAATAAATATTATTTCAAAATTAAAAACTCAGAAAATTTACTAATTTCTCTGATATAAATCTTATTAAATCCAGAATTAGTAATTATATAAACTTAACAAAAAATCAGAATATATATTCTAATTTAAAAGAAAGTAATTAAGAAATAAAAGAAAAAAAAAATAATAATTAAATAACTAATAATAATAATAATGACTTGAATATCTTAATTATAATTCTTGAAGCTCTTACTAATTAAATGACTAAATAAAATAACTGACCAATAAAAAAGATTATTATCTCTATTCAGAAATATTAAAAAAATGATCAAGACTCTACTGAATAGTTAAAAAACTTCAATATAACTATTCAAGTTAATGAAATTATAATCATTAGAAAAATATAACTTGCTTATAAATATCTAAAAGATGTTGCTGCTCTGTAATATAATGAAAAAAATAGAAATAATATCACTTAACTAATAGCCTAAAATGATAATAATAATTAGTTATATAGCTTCTGTTATTAATTTGCTACATATTTCTAGATCAGAAAAAGAATAGATCAATAACAAGATGAAATTGAAACTCTGTAACAGACTGATATTATGAATAAATATATAAATAAATTTATTAATCTACTTTATAAAGTAGATTTTGATAATAAATATCTGAAAGAATATAAAATTAGAATTTACAGATGAAAACTCAAATCAGAAATTAAAAAATAGGTACAGATTTCTGCTGATAGAACTTTCTTAAATATGATATAAGTTACTAAAAATATAGAAAAAGCGGATGTAAATATTCTGACTTATGAATATTACTAATCTCAGATCCAGGATAACTCAATATTAAATACTATTTTGATAGTACTCAAAGATCTTAATCAGTAAATAGAAAGTATTAAAACTAATAAAAGATCAAATTATAATAAAAATAACTCTAGTTATCAGTTTAATAATCAAAACTCTAAATCAGTTTCTACCTATTATAATTATAATACATTCATTCAAATTATTCTTAGCTATAATCATATAGAAATAATCAGAACAAATTTGAAAATAATTATTAGAGATTAAATAAAAATAATCAGTAACAAAATAATATGCCATCAAATCAGTCAAATTCTGAAAATAATTAAAATATAAATAATAGTTAAACTATATTACTAGCTCAAATATAAGCTCTCACAGATAGTATTCAAATATTAACTACCAAACCAGATAATATAAATTCACTACTTGAAACATATGAATATTTGGCTGCTGATAAAAAGACTAGAAATTCAAGAGCTACATCTTATGGAACCTGATCTGTAGGTTGACCTCAAAAAGAAGCTGTTAAAGAAAATAAAGGACTAAATATCATAGAAGAAGAAGAGCAAGAAGACATCTCTAAAATTATCCTTGATCAAGATATGAACAAAAATACTGAACAGTTGATTGTAAATATGAAGGTGCGGTGGTGAGAGATCTAAAATCAGGTATCGTGTCGATAAAGAATGTGATGAATTTAAAGTGGATCGATTTTGAAGAAATAATTCCTCCAACATCTACGAAATCGGAAAAATCACTCCTCCGTTGCTTATCATTACAAATGAGATTCTTGATAGAGTTTTCCAATATCATAGAAAGAATAGGGACGAGAAAATGTATCCTCTTTTATTAGTTAATGAGCAATGGTATTATATTGCTAGCAGACTGATATGGCAAAAAATCTCTATCAGCTATTTCCGGGTAAAGTTTACTAGGGCATTGAGTAAGGATACATGTGCACAAGGTAGTCCTGAATTTTGTCGGAAAATTAAATTTAGAGCCAATTGTTTGCATTTCCGAAGTGTGTAAGGCATGCTCAAATTTACAATGCTTACAGTGCTCCGCAGAAGTATCCGACCCTCCAACTTTTCGTAGATCATGTATAATGCACCAAATTTTTCCGAGCACAAAGAACATTACAAATGCTGATCATGATACATTTTATAGATTGGTAGAGCTTCTATATCGGGTATTGTATATTCATAAATTTCAGGTCCCAAATATAATCAGTTAGTTCATAACACACATCTCAATATCCAATAATCTAATTTTTGACGTCCAGTGACCCGATTTGAACAAAAATAATACTGTTTGATTCGTCTCGACCAGACGAATCAAATGATCATATTTTTGTTCAAATCGGATCACTGGACGTCGAAATATTGCGTCTTGAATCATTTTTTTTGACACTAACCAAATGAATCGGTCAATTTAGGACGTAATATCTTGACCTCCAGTGATCCGATTCGAACAAAAATAACACCATTCGATTCGTCTTGACTAGAAAAATCGAATGATATTATTTTTGTTCGAATCGGATCACTGGAGGTCAAGATACTACGTCCTAAATCGACCGATTTATTTTTTTGGCGATCAATTTCTAATGAAAAATTGATCGACAAATATGAATTGTTCACTTGTCTAGTGGTGCGAAAATACCACCATTCGATTTGCCTAGATTAGGTGGTATTATTTCTCGGATCACTAGACATCAAGATATTATGTCCTAATGTGACCGATTTTCTGTATTTGGGCATGAAAGTTTATTAACATACAATACCCGATATAGAAGCTCTACCAATCTATATAAGGTATCATGATCAGCATTTGTAATGTTCTTTGTGATCGGAAAAATTTGGTGCATTACACATGATCTATGGAAAGTTAGAAGGGGTGGGATACTTTTGCGGTTGACCGTAAGTTTCGAAAATTGTGAACGCGTTTACTTAACAATAAGAGCTTAGAAGCGCTTCTAGGTGAGTGCCCAAAATTAAAATCACTCACAATGATCGATTTTAAGCGCTTAAATCCAAAGACATTTACAAAAATTCCTCAATTATGTCCTAGTTTGGAAATAATAGAAATTAAAAATTGTTCACGGATTAAAGAGAACATATTAATCGTTTTTCAAAACTTATATCCAAAAATAAAGCTTATATTTATTGAAAATTATTAGGAGCGATAAAGTCAGTTTTTTTTTATTTAAGGGAGTTTTTTTCTGGCGCAATAAATATTCAGTTAAGAAAACAACACTTGAAATGGCATACGTAGAATGCAAAATTTGCCTTTTTCCAATGAAATAAGACATCTAGAAGAGCGTTACAAAGCAATGAAAGAGGGACATGTACACTACGCGGTAAATGCATTGATTGATACATCATCCAACGCAAATAAAATTAGAAAAAGCTTGGCTGATAAGCTTGGAATAGAATACGGTAAGCATTATAAAGATAAAAGAGTGAAAAAATCATCAGGCACTTTATTCGAATTTCCTTGCAGAATATGCAGAAAAAAAGAATAACAGATAATGAAATGTAATGCGGAATTTATGCAAATGCATTGTTCTGAATCTAATCAATTTTATCATATTTATTCTAAGGGAAACTGATATTTAAAATACAAATATACAAAAAATTGGACATGTTATGAGCGAGAGATATAACCAATTCTTTATGATATTAAACTATTTTAATGTTAACTATATTGATCGTCAATATAATATACAGTAACTATATACTGTACAATACATACGTTAATTTTCAAACCATCAATAAATAAAAATGAAAAAATTGAGCACTCTTTAAAATTGCTCATATTTTTAATTCCATTAATGAAAATCTTTGATATCAGATTTGAGACGGTTGAGGTGGTTGAATCTGTTGAATTTGTTGGACCGGTTAAGTTGTTTGAACCGTTTGGTCTCTCGATTTTCGTCTCGAACAACAATAAAAAGTTAGCACTACGACAATAATTCCAATAATAATTCCAGCTAATGCCCCAGGATATCTGACATAGGACTCGCATGGACAAAGAAATTCATTGCAATCTGTACATTTTTTAGCGATCAACCAAGTGCCATATTTTCGGTCGCAGCATGCGCTTAAGCCTTCGCAAGTAGATGGTAAATCTGGACAGTCAGACATTGATACTCTTTTTTTTGCAAATAAATTTCGGTTAAGAAATTTCATTAAAGAGGGAGTAAAACATTTATACTTACCGGTAATCACTTTATAACTTCCACGATATATCATTATAATAGCAAAATTGGCAGCATATGATCACGCTGTAGCACCAAAGTTCACTCTTTATAATGCCACAAAAGTTAAACTACTTCAAAGAACACACCAATAAAAAATTTTAAATAACGTGACTTTGCACGAAAAATAATAAAGAAGTTTGATTGTATTATATTACAAACGCATACGAATGCAAAGTCATATAATGGACTGTTGTTTGTTTCATATAGTAACATTTGAGTTTGAAACCTATCGCTATCCCACCGATTCTAATTTCCGATCCAATTTTCAAGTGATCGGCTTGATCGGAAAAATTCATATCACACTGAAACAATCATTTTACCCCTATCTCAGTATTTTTTCGCAAAATTTTTTTATCACTTTGTCTCACATAAGGCTAGTTTGCACAATAGCATTTCACAAAAAATACTTATATAACTCGAAAAATATCTATCACTTGTGAAATACGATCGCGAACGCTTTCTCTATTGAGACGAGCCTATTAGTGAGCTCAAAAAAGGTATTAATGTTGACTTCAAGGATATCAAGCTATGGAAAAAGGAAATTCCTGACGTTCAGGACGATCTCTTAAGCAATCTCTCACTCCAGGAGAAGGACGAACTTCTTGCAACAAGAGAAATAGGAGACTACTGGACTGAAAAAGTGCCTAAGAGGCATATTCATGTCTTAGTCTCTCCGCCAAAGACTACCGCCACTTCGAGCTGTGAACAGAAATTACTTGAGGAAGTCGCCTCGTTGAAGGAGAAACTTTGCAAGACTGAATATGGTACATAGGAAAGATCATAGAGAGTGTATTGCACAAGCGTCTTCGTGGGAATTTACTAACCCGCCATTATAACAGTGTTCGATTTTATCGTGAGCCCGAAACGAACGAACGGATTCAAGTGGAATGTAGATGTCAGAGATGCGACTCTTGAAGGACTCAAGAAATATATACGCAAAGAAAATGAACCACCATCTCTTGAAAAGATGGAGCAGTATTAAAATTCATAAGTGGAGATAAGAAAGATATTCACCTCAGAATGATCAAGTTTTCTGTAAAATGCTCCAGCTATTCGTATCTCCAAATTTAATGTAATCATAGAGACCCCTCAAAAGATTTCTCGGATTGGACGTTCCCAAAAGTGTCAACTTTACGGTCTTGATGGAGAGACGGAGGATCCAACAATGGCGATCTTCCAGTTTTTTCATGCGGTAACGTTAAGCCATTCCAGGAATCGTGGCTCATGGCAGAATTGAAACCCCGTCTCGACAACACCACTATCAATTTACTTTCAATCGAAGCCACGAAATCATTATACGTCTATTCTTATCTGCTTGCTGGAGCGAATAATTTCAAGGGAGAGTTTGAGATTCGCCCTCAAAAAGTTATTTCTGGACCGAATGGGCACGGACCTCTCGATTTCGCGATTGACTTGCGCCAAACAGCAAAAACGGTTGGGGTCACGGGGATAAAAAAGATGATTTTGTGAAAGGCGTTGCTCAATGTGCGGCAAGGACAATAAAATGGAGGAGGATCAAACGGTCGGAAGAGTTTTTGGGATAGTTACTGATGCCGAAAAATTCTATTTCATGGTATATTCGATGGATTTCAAGGCAGGCTTCAAACTATCGGAACCGGTGGTCGTTGTATATAACGACGAGAATTTGCAAACTAAGGTGAAAAAAGTCCTCGGACATATTGTATGGCTGTTGGAGGAGGCACAGAAGCCGGACGACGATTCACAAAGTGGGGAAGAATCGAGAGAAATAAAAGGATAAAGTCATTAAGCAAAATTGCGGAGAATTAAGTTAGTGTAGATAAGTCTTTGCATAGAAAATTCGTCATGTATCACGGGTTACGTCCCGAATTGTATGAATTTTTCTGGGCGCAAAAATTTTATTTTAACGTGTAACATGTTCTGTGTGAATTATTCAATGGTTGGTGCTACTCATTCATAATTAGCGTTAATAATCACTAATAAACAAATAAACTATTTGACTAACAATAACTAACATACAACGGTCGTCATAAAGATCCAGAATTTTTGATCGATACCAGAACATCGTGTGACATTAAACTAACATATAAAATTCCGGGACTGAACGTAGTTTCGTTTCCAGCAGGACAATTCTTTAATCGAAAGCCATGGCGTTCTGGCTTTCTTACCGATATAAAACCCATCGAAAATCTGTGGGCGATAGATACTAAAGGGAAAAGTGAAAAGAAAGTTTATATAATGAAACACTGGTTCTACGTAATAAAAAAATCATTAGTTAGACTCTACTATTTCTTTTGCTTAATTAAAAAAGACTTTCAACGGATGTATTTAAATCATAATTCGTCATGAATGAGCGGGTTTGGGCGAAGACCTCTTTTCGGTTGGATAGGAGCATGAAAGATCGAGAAAAAAGCAATTAGATATTAAAATTTTGTATGTGCATGTAGTAACCATATCTGGGGATGCGTTACGATATTATGATCAATCAGGACAAGATGCATGAAATTTTAATCGTTATCATCATTATTCCTCACTCGAGTCGTTCCTTCTTTGTACCGGTTATAAATTTTATGATGATGGTGAATGGTGTTGATTTTATGATGATAACTCTAAAAAAAAAAGAAAGAAATGAATCAAGGTGTCCAATGAGCATCGGAAAAATAAAAAAAAGAAAAGTATGCTCATATCATGAATCAAGAAGAACGTTCATAGCAAGGCTGTGCTTTCAATTCTTAATTCATGAATCCCATAATTTGTAGTATACTAATTAAAAAAACAAGGGGAAGGGTTGTATTTAAAAAATGGGGGGGGGTGCACTACAAATTATGTTCAGTTTAAATGGCGCACAGGTCAACTATGAGCATAATCAAATTATGTCTATATAGTATATTCCATACTCAGTAAAAGCTGTCAAGTTGACTGCATGAAAGCAATAGCAATATAATTTTTCCATATACTCACAAGTTGCACAAAATGAATCATGATCATTATTATTTCTCATTCAAGTTATGAACTTCTTTATATCAGTCAGTGATAGTATAATCAATGGATTTGAAGGATATTTAATGAGCAATGATGAATCAAAAACTATAGCATACTGTAATATTTAGCAGGATAAGAAATTTATTAGTTAATAAAAGCGTAAAAAGTTAATTAATAGAGATGTTATAAGCAGCAAAAGAGAATATGAACAGTCTTGAACACCACTAATTAGAGTATAAGCAATCTATTCTTCAGTAAAACAAACTTGTGATAAACTCTAGACTGTAAGTAAAAAAGCAAGAATAATATAAATATAAATCAAATATAAAGTAATATTAACTAACAATAAAATTAGTGATAATAATTTCTCATTGTAATTTCTTGAACACAATTTGAAATAAATACAGTATTTCTCTAAATATATACTCTGTTCAGCTTAAGCTTAGTCTCTAAATATATACTTTTACTATAGGCTAGTTTTGAAAATATGCATTTAATTATATCTGTATATATTGATAATATTTAAAATCCTTCTGAATAAAAGAAATCTTGAATAAATAATATCTCTAAATACATAAAATTTCATATTATAATAATTATTTCATTCTGGATTTTGCTTATTTGAGATATCATCTCTTTATTCTACAAATATTAATTGAAAGTGTATATTAATTAAAAGTATATATTTTTTAATAAAAAAATCTATATAATAATTCATTTTACTTTAATATTTAATTAATTGCTAAATAAAATTTAAGTTTTGATTTATAATACAAGTTGTCAAAAAAATTTTAGCTGACTAAGCTTTTATTTTTTAAGCTGAACTGGCTTAGTTAATATAATTTTAAAAAAGGAAATTATCAAAATTTAATAGTAATTAATTATTATTTAGTTTTATAATTTCTTATTTAATCTTAATTTTTAATATTATACTTAATTATATTAATATTATATTTCAAAAATAAAAAATTATGAATAATATTTAGATTTAATTTATTTTACTAATTTGTAATTATATTTTCAGTATTTGAAAAAAGTTATTTAGTAGATATTAATATAGTAAAAATTTTAATATATACATATTATTTTTAATAATATAGATAGAGTATTTACATATTTTTTTTATTAAATAAGTAGATTTTCTTGTTGATATTTATTACTTATAATATTATATTTTAGTATTTTAAAAAGTGAATAATATAATTATAATTCAATATTAATAGAATTTTAATAATTATTATATTTTTATTTTTAAAAAATATAGCTAGTTTTGATATATATAATAGTAATAATATAATAATATTAGTAACTAAAGATAATATAATAAGTATATAATACTTATTTATTATCTATTATAATATATTATAATTTTAAAATTTTATAAGTTATAACTAATTATAATTAGATGTTATTTTATTTGTTATTATTACAGTAATTAAGAAGTCATTTTTATTAGTAACTAAGTTAGAAAATTTTATATATAATTTTTCACAAAGAATTTAATATACTATATTATAATTATTTTAGATCTAAAAAAAGAATTTTTAAATCATGAATCAAGAATTAAGACAAGTTAGATAATTTTTTTGAGATATTATCACTATTTTAGAAAAGAATTTTTAATTATTTTTCATATTTATTTAACAAATTTAGTTATAATAGCAAGATTTTGCTCATATAAATACTTTAAAAGAGTATTTATTATTGGATATATTATAAATAAAGTTAAATATTTATTATTAATCAATATAGTTACTAATATAAAAGAAATAAAAAGATTAGTTAACTCTTTTAAGACAAGTTATTCATTATTAAATAAAATAATATTAACTAAAGATCATTTATTATAATGAATTTATCTATTAGAATCTTATTAAAGTTGAATTATAAAATATTTAATTATAAAATATAAAGTAAATATAAGATTATTTTATTAATAATTGTAAACAAGATAAAATATGATATGAATAAGTTTTAATTTTATAACTTATAATTATTTTTATTATTTAAAAGTAT